CCCATCCCAAATTGTCCGAAACGGAACTCGGCCCCTCGGCAGAAGAGACGCAGGGGACCCCCGGGGGGCTGGAGGTCCCCCCGCATTTCAGCAGGGTCATGCCTGTCCGGAGCCCGGCGGGACAAAGGGGAGATGGGGATGAGAAACATGATTGGCTGAGGGCCTAAAAGTGGGTGTGTCAAACTGGAAAATGGGGTGGGACCTGGGAAGCTCAGCAGGAGCAGGACAACTAGGATGAGATTGTCCAAGGGTCACAGTTTGGGACCAAGACTCAGGACTTGGGTCAAGGTTTGAGCTTTGGCCTCATCCCCATCTCCCCTTTGTCCCACAGGGCTCCGGGCGGCCGTGACCCTGCTGGAGTGCGGGGGGGACCTCCAGCCCCCCGGGGGTCCCCTGCGCCTCCTCTGCCGAGGGTCTGGGTTGAGTTTTGGGAGTTTTGACATGGAATGTATCGGCCAGAGACCCGGGCAGGGGCTGGAATTCATTGCCTACATCAGCAACACTGGTGGTTACATCTACTTCGCGCCATCGGTCAAGGGCTGGGTCACGATCTCCAGGGACAACGGGCAGAGCTCGGTGACGCTGACCATGAACAACCTCAGGGACGAGGATTCCGCCATTTATTTCTGCGCCAAATCTGCTTATGCTGGTGCTGCTGGTGGTGCTGCTGCTGCTTATATTGACCATGCCAGTTTTGGCATCACCCCTGTCTGAGCCCCCCCAGTCCCCAAACCAAGACTCTTCCCCCCCAAACCTCAGCCCTTGACCCTTTGTCTCAAAATTTCCCCCATTTGCCGCAATGGTCAGCACTGACCCCAAACCCTTCCCATGTCCTGCCCCAAATCTGAGCCATTGGCCCCAAACCTTCACCCCTGGCCTCCAGGTCAGGCCTCCCCCAATCAGGACCTGGGACCAGGTAGGGATTAGGAGAAATGGGCAAAATTGGATGAAAGTACAGAGTTGGGGCAACAATGGTAGAGTTTGGAAGAAAATGGCTGAGGTTTTAGAAGGGCTGAAACTTGGTGGAAGCATCACTGGGACTGGAGAAATTTTACGACCCTCATGGCCACAATCAGAAGTGAAGGCAAAAAGAGCAGCAGCATTACCACCAGCATAACCATTGTCACGTTTGGCACAGAAATAGGATCCGGAATACTCGTCCTTGAGGCTGTTCATGGTCAGCGTCACCGAGCTCTGCCCGTTGTCCCTGGAGATCGTGAACTGGCCCTTGACTGATGGCGCGTAGTTGGTGGTGCCACCATTGTCACTGAACCCTGTGAGCCACTCCAAGCCCTGCCTGGGTCTCTGGCGGATCCACTGCAATGCGAAACTGCAGAAACTGAACCCAGACCCTCGGCACAGCAACGTCAGGGACCTCCCGGGGGGCTGGAGGTCCCCTCTGCACTCCAGAAGGGTCACAGCCGCCCAGAGCCCTACGGGACAAAGGGGAGTTGGGGATGAGGGACGGATTGGCTGTGCAGTCAAAGTGGGCGCTGCCATTCCAGAAAAAGGTTGTGGGATCCACCTGGGATGACTGGCAGGAGTTGCAGGAGGAGGATGGGGAGGTCCACGGGTCCCAATTTTTGGGCAACATCAGAATCTTCAAGCAAGAATCAACATTTGGGTGGATTCGTTCCCTCATCCCCATCTCCCCTTTGTCCCGCAGGGCTCCGGGCGGCCTTGACCCTGCTGGAGTGCAGGCGGGATCTCCAGCCCCCCGGGGGGTCCCTGCGTCTCCTCTGCCGAGGATCTGGGTTTGATTTTGGGGAATTTGGGATGGGCTGGATGCGCCAGAGACCCGGGCAGGGGCTGGAATTTGTCGCGAGTGTCACCAGTGATGGCGCCACTCCCAGATACGCGCCATCCGTCAAGGGCCGGTTCAGGATCTCCAGGGACAACGGGCAGAGCTCGGTGAGGCTGACCATGAACAACCTCAAGGACGCGGATTCCGCCGTTTTTTTCTGTGTCAAACTTTGCAATGGTTACGCTGGCAATGCTATTGATGCTGGTTATGATGTCGCTTCTGGTAGTGACCAGAACCATGCCCCAGTCCAACACCAAGTACTGAGCCAAAACACCCAAATTGGTTCTGCCCCAAACCCTCCTGCTTTGACCCCAAAACTCGCCCGATTCTGCCCCAGATCCCCACTCTTGGCTCCCAGCAGCCGCTGACACAAACCTCACCCACTGGACCCAAATCTCAACCCTTGGGGCACTTTTGGGGGTCGAGGGGGAGATTTGGGGCCGAGATTTGAATTTGGGGCCAGACCCAGGGCAGGGTTTGGGACCAATGGGCAGCGCTGGGGCAAAGGGGGCGGGGTTGGGGCAAAGGGTCAGGGGTGGGACAGGGGGTCTGGGGAAGGGTCTGGGGACGGCTGAGGACAGGGACGGGGACAGGACCCAAAACACATACCAAACCACCGGGAGTGAAACCAATGGCATGGGCAGCATTCCAGCCACCATAGGAATCCTTGGCACAGAAATAGATGGGGGAATCCTCGTCCTTGAGGTTGTTCATGGTCAGCGTCACCGAGTTCTGCCCGTTGTCCCTGGAGATCCTGAACCGGCCTTTCACTGAATCTCCATAGTGGGTGGTGCCACCAGTGCTGATCTGTGCCAGGAACTCCAGCGCCTGCCCGGGTCTCTGTCGATACCAGCCCATAGCAAAACTGCCAAAACTGAACCCGGACCCTCGGCAGAGGAGGCGCAGGGACCCCCCGGGGGGCTGGAGTTCCCCCCCGCACTCCAGCAGGGTCAAGGCCGCCCGGAGCACTGCGGGACAAACGGGAGATGATGGAAATCAAAAGTCTGATTTGTCAAGGGCTTCCAAGTGGGTGTGGCCAGCTGGACAAAGGAGTAGAATCCTCCTGGGAAGAGGATGATGAACTCTAAAGATCCCAGTTTGCGGCCCAGAGTCAGAATTTCGGTCAAGGGTTGAGCTTTGGCCTCATCCCCATGTCCCCTTTCTCCCGCAGGGCTCCGGGCGGCCATGATCCGGCTGGAGTGTGGGGGGGACCTCCAGCCCACCGGGGGGTCCCTGTGCCTCCTCTGCCAAGGGGCCGGGTTCAGTTTTGGCAGTTTTGGTATTGGCTGGTATCGACAGAGACCCGGATAGGGGCTGGAATTCGTCGCCTACATACGTGTGTGATGTTTCCAACATTTACTACGCGCCGTCGGTCAAGGACTGGGTCACGATCTCCAGGGACAATGGGCAGAGGTCGGTGACGCTGACCATGAACAACCTCAAGGACGAGGATTCCGGATCCTATTTCTGCAGGAAATTTGCCTATAATACTTGGGGTGCTGCTGCTTATGGTATTAACTCCATCCCCGTGGCTGTGTCCCCACCTGTCCCCGTTCCCCAGACCCTTCTCCCAAACTCTGGCCCTGACCCCATTCCTGACTCCATCTCCCTACCCTGCCCTGGCTCTGCCCCGAATTCTCCACTCTCGACCACAAAATTGACTGAAATCTTAACCCATGACCAGAAGTATCCACTTTCAGAATCATGTTTTGGAGCACAAAGTGGAGATTTCGGGTCAGGACTTGTGGTTTGGGGTCAGCGGGTGAGAATTGGGGCCGAGGCAGAGCAAGGTTGGGATCAATGGTCAAGTGCTGGGTGTAAGCTGGGGGTTTGGGGGAAGGGTCTGGGGAATGGGGACAGGAGGGGGACATGGGGATGGGGGACATGGTCAAAACAATACACAGCACCAGCAGGATCATACCAAACATTAACATATTTGGCACAGAAATATGTGGCAGAATCCTCATCATTGAGGTTGTTCATGGTCAGCGTCACCAAGATCTGCCCGTTGTTCCTGGAGATACTGAACCGGCCCTTGACTGAGGGTGCATAGCTGGTGCTGGAACCATCGTTCTTTATCCCCCCGAGCCACTCCGTCACCTGCCCGGGTCTCTGGCGCACCCACTGCATCCCAAAATTCCCAAAATCGAACCCGGACCCTCGGCAGAGGAGGCGCAGGGATCCCCCGGAGGGCTGGAAGTCCCCCCTGCACTCCAGCAGGGTCACGGCCGCTCCGCCATCCCCAAACCTTCGCTGTTTTTGTCCCAAACTCCCTTTGTCTGGCCTCAAGTCTCCAACAGAGATTTCCAGTATTGTAAAGTGCCTTCAACCCTGCAATGAGCTCAAATCCACCCATTAATTAATTGGACAGCTCTACCTGAGTTTTGCATCGCCCCATCACAATCTCCCCTTTGTCCCACAGGGCTCTGGGCAGCCGTGACCCTGCTGGAGTGCGGGGGGGACCTCCAGCCCCCCCGGGGTCCCTGACATTGCTGTGCCGCGGGTCCAGGTTCAGTTTCCGGGGTGTTGCCATGAGCTGGGTCCGTCAGAGACCCGGGCAGGGGCTGGAGGTCGTCGCCTACATCTTCAGCGGTGGCAGCGCCTGGTACGCGCCATCGGTCCAGGGCCGGTTCATGATCGCCAGGGACAACGGGCAGAGTCTGATGACGCTGACCATGACCAACATCAAGGACGAGGATTCCGCTCTTTATTTCTGTGCCAAAAATTGGGATGATTGTTGTGCTCCTGCTGCTGGTGAGGATATTTATTGTGGTGATGTTGGTCATGGTGGTTTTGGCCCTGCTCCCAGGTGGAGTCCCCCCTGTCCTCAAACCCAGACCCTTCCCGTAAACCTCAGCCCTTGACCCTTGTCACCATTGGCCTGAAAATCCCTCCGGGGCAGCCCCAAATGTGCACCCCTGGCCCCAAACCCAAGCTGGGGGCATTAAATCTTGAGGGTTCAGCACAAAAATTGGCACCAAGGGTGAAAGGGTGGGGCCGAGAGTTGGGAGTTTGGGAGAGAATGGGGGAGATTTGGGACAGAGCCAGTTCAGGGCTGGGACACGGGGACAGGAATGGGGTCAGGGGCTGGGAATTGGGGGAGGGGTCTGGGGGATGGGGACAGGGGGGACATAGCAATGGGTGTGGGGTCAATACAATAGGCACCAGTATAACCAGCACAGCCAGCAGCACCCTTGGCACAGAAATAGTAGGCGGAATCCTCGTCCTTGAGGTTGTTCATGGTCAGCGCCACCGAGCTCTGCCTGTTGTCCCTGGAGATCGTGAACCGGCCCTTGACTGATGGCGCGTAGCTGGTGCTACAACCATTGTAGCTGATACTGGCGATGAATTCCAGCCCCTGCCCGGGTCTCTGGCGCATCCATCCCATTGCAACACTCCCAAGACTGAACCCGGCCCCTCGGCAGAGGAGGCGCAGGGACCCCCCGGGGGGCTGGACGTGCCCCCCGCACTCCAGCAGGGTCACGGCCGCCCGGAGCCCTGCGGGACAAAGGGGAGATGGGGATGAGGGAACAAATCCACCCAAATGTTGATTCGTGCGTGCAGATCCTGATGTTGACCCCAAATTGTGGCACTTTCTCCTCCTCACAATCCTGCTGCCCCTCCCAGGTTGGTTGAGGCCCCTTTTTGGATCTGGTCACTCCCAGCCCAGCCCACGCCCGGATCCGGGGCCTCATCCCCATCTCCCCTTTATCCCGCAGGGCTCCGGGCAGCCGTGAACCTACTGGAGTGCGGGGGGGACCTCCAGCCCCCCGGGGGGTCCCTGCGTCTCCTCTGCCGAGTGTCCGGGTTCGATTTTAAGGATTTTAGAATGATCTGGATCTGACAGAAATCTGGGAAGACGCTGGAATACATTGCAAGTATCAGCAGTGGTGCTTACAGCGACTAAGCGCCGTTGGTCAAGGGCCGGGTCACGATCTCGAGGGACAACGGGCAGAACTCAGTGACGCTGACCATGAACAACCTCAAGGACGAGGATTCCGGATCCTATTTCTGTGCCAAACGTGGTACTGGTAGTAGTTACGGATATGATAGTGCTGCTCTTAGTGACAGTTCCGGCAATGGTCCCACCCGCTATGATGGTCACCAAATGTCCCCAATCCCCGCAGATCCTTTCCCAATATCCCAGACCTTCTGCTCAGATTTTCACCACTTACTTCAAAACTCTGCCATTACTGCCCCAATTTCCGACTTTCTCCCAATTTTGCCCATTCCACCAAAATCTCCCCCAGCTCCCTTGGCCCTGATTGGAGCAGGCCTGAACTGGAGGCCAGGGGTGAAGGTTTGGGGCCAATGGTTGAGTTTTGGGGCAGGAGCAGGGGAGGATTTGGGGTCAGTGCTGACCATTGGGGAAAATAGTGGAGATTTGGGACAAAGGGTCAAGGGCTGGGGTTTGGGGGAAGGGTCTGAGGACTCGGGGCATTTGGGAACCCATCAAGAACGGCAGGGCTGAAACCAACATCAATACCATAAGCTTCGTAATTAGAACCAGCATAAGGAGACAGCACAGAAATAGGATCCGGAATCCTCGTCCTTGAGGTTGTTCATGGTCAGCGTCACCGAGCTCTGCCCGTTGTCCCTGGAGATCGTGACCTGTGGGATCTCAGTCTCTCAGAACTGGGGTGCAGGGTGAGCAAGACCCCCCCTGGGGGGCTCGGGAGTCCTGGAATGCTGCCAGAAATGTCTGGTGGCTGGACTTTGATCCCACATGGGAGATGACATCAGTATGAGGACAGGAGGATTTCACTGGGATGAATGGTGAAGGGACAAGTTAATTGGAGTGTGAGATACAGGGTTTAAGATCCCTGTACAGGGGGGTCTAGAGAGGCAAGATGGAGGGATTGGGGCGTGCCCTTCTCCTTCTTCTTCTTCCTCTAGGCCTCCATCTTCTGTGGTGATGTTGGCACTCTGGGATTGGACCTTACTAGGGGAACACTGGTTAATAAGGGAAGAGGGTATTGGAGAAAAATGATAAATATTGTATACGTAACTCCGGGTATAAAGATAGGTGACCGCCCCAGGGGCTTTCAGTGTGTGCCCATGGCTGACTGCTGAGCAGAACTCTGTCAGGCCAAGAGAAAATCTTTTAGATAAGCAATTAATAAACACCAAGACCAAGAACAAATCTGAAGCTTCCTCTCGTCCTTTCGAACCCGGGGGCCCAAGGCCATCTTTGGGCTTTTTCCCAGACCATCTAAAAGGCACCAAAATCCAACAGTGACCCGGCCCTTGACCAATGGGGCGTAGTAGGTTCTGGAAAGATCATAGCTGATCTCTGTCACGAACTCCAGCCCCTGTCTAGGTCTATGGCGGACCCAGTACATGTTCACATTCCTGAAATCAAACCCGGACCCTCGGCAGAGGAGGCGCAGGGAACCCCTAGGGGGCTGGAGGTCCCCGCCGTACTCCAGCAGGGTCACGGCCGCCCGGAGCCCTGCGGAACAAAGGGGAGATGATTAAAAATGAGAAATATGATTGGTCTAGAAGGGGAAAAGGTGCGTGTGTTCCAGAAAAAAGGGGCGGAGCCCACCTGAGAGGGGCAGCAGGGGCAGCAGGGCCTGGAGCTTGAGGGAGCTCAAGGACACGGCCGGCATGTGCCGGGGTTAGGGTCCTGGGGGTTTGGGCGTTGTTAACGTGGTATTACTTTTGAAATCAAAGTGGAACCCTGAGGAGAAGGTGTCCAATTAATTAATGAGAATATTGAGATTAATTCCAGGTTTTGAGGAACTTAAGGAAAGCCAAAATATCTGGTGGAGATTTGGGACCGAAGCAGAGGAGTTATGAGTGAAATTGGTGAAGATTTGGGGCTGGAATACGTCGCGGGGTGTCGCAGACATTTTTTCACAGAAATCCTTTCTTTCAGATTTCTGCATTTTCTGGGAAGCTGAGGGCCCCAGAAGAAGAATGTAAACAATTGTTATCAGCTGCTGTGGAATGTAACAGGGACACCTTGATTGGCTCATGTTTGTATGTTTATAATTGAGGGCCAATCACAAGAGCAAGCCAGGGGACCGAGTCCCTGGGCACAACTTTGTTTGGGATTCTTTCTTTCTATTCTTAGCTTAGCAGCATCTGCAAACTTCTCTTTTTATTCTATTTAGTATAGTCATAATGTATTTTATATCATATATCAATAAATACAGCCTTCTGATCAAGAAACAAGATTCATCGTCTCTCTCTCACCAGCAGCGACCCACTCAGGCGCTGTAACATCTGGTGACCCCTCGCGTCAGAGCAAAAATTAATTTGATAAGACCAGAGGAGCAAAATTGCTGCACTGGGTAAAAATCCTGTATGTGTAGCATTTGATGGTTGCTTTGAAGTGACCACAAAGAGAACCTTCTTCTGGAAAACCATCAGGAAAGATGATGGAAAAGAGCAGCAGACCTGTGGAGCTGGCCAGAGCAAGCTGGACTCTTTCAAAAGGTACTGTGGGCTTTTCTATCCCTGATGAACCAGCCCTTCGTAGTCTGTGGCTGTTTGTATGGCAGACACATGCCTTGCCAGAAGAGATTCAATTCTCCCCTTCAGAGGAGAAACTTATAGCCCTCTGGAACCATTGGTCTAGAGAAGATGGTTGCTTTTTGTCAGAAACAGATCTCTATAAATTCTTTAGATGGGCAAAGCTTTTTGGGTTCTTTACTGATGTCCTGTACGCTTTAGATGCTTTTGTCTGGGAGTGCATGGACTCCATTTTCCAGTTCGTCTGGAGCCAGGGACGTGTCCTGCCTTCTATCTACCCAGCATTTATACAGCTTTTCCCACTTCTCAAACGCAGAGCAGCGTCTTTTCAATGGATTTCTAATTGTTATGGCCAGGCACCGTTTCCCCCCTCCTTGGCAGAAGACCCGGTGGGTGATGACTTTGGGCTTTTCCCCCCGCCCTGTTTCGCGGCGGGGGGGGCTGAAACTTCGCTGGGCGAAGAAGTTTTTTTCACTCTTGCTCCGGAGCATGCTCAGATGGAGTTTTCTCCTTCCCCCCCTTCTCTCTCTCCGGGGGGATGGGAGTGGCCGCTCAAGCCAGCGCCGGCCTCTCAGACTCCGCCTTCAGACATGGGGGCGGCACCGGTCTCTGAGGTTTCTCCGGTCCTGCCAGAGCCGTCACTCCAGGAGATCCCGTCTCCGCCTCTCCAGGCTGTCCCGCCCGCGGTTTCACCGGCCTCCCCGCCCCCTGAGCTGTTGCTAGGCAACGACGAGGATGCGTCTCCAGCTTCCGGCTCAGCGTCGGAGAAGGCAGAAGAGACAGCACTTCCTGTGCTTGAGCTGTTGCTAAGCAACAGCGATGCTCCGCCGCTTCTCCCGGCTCCGCTGCTGCCTGTGCCGTGCCTGCCGCCGCTTTCAGAGCCAAGGGACGCAGCAACAGCGTGTTCCCGCGCATCCCCGCCGCCTCAAGGCGAGACAGTTCCTGTTCAGGATGGGGCTGAAAACGGCGCCGAACCTGCGGGACCCTCCGAGCAGCCCGCGGCTGATCCCACTCTCAGCGCGGTTCCCTCCCCAGTTCCGGCCCCCCCCTCGCCGCTCGGACTGGCCGCTCCAGCGGCTCTGGTGTTGTCGGAGGCTCTGTCCTCCGTGTCGGCGTCAGAGACTGCCATGGCACCGGCGGCTGGTTCGAGCCCGGACCGTCCCGGACCGGCTGCCCCAGCAGCTGCCCCGGCCGGGGGTCTCTCCTTCGGTGGAGCGGGGGCTGCCCGCCAGCTGACTCTTGCGGCAGCCCGGCTGCCGGCTTTCAAGCTCGGTGGTTTGGGGGGTGGTGTTTCGGTTGCTGTCCCATGGAGGCTGCCGCCTCTCCTGCGTCCTAGTGGCATGGGGGGGCAGGTGCATCCCGAGAGCCCTGCCTCTGATCCCCAGCCCGGAGGGGATGGGGATGGTGATGCCACGGGGCAGATGAGAGACAAACCCGATGCAGTGCAGGGGAAGATGGCACAGCTGGAGGAGACCATAGCTGGTTTGCTGTGGGAAACAAACATCTCCAGACCCCAGATGGGATTGCTGGGGAAGGCTTCTATTTCCTCACTGCTGGCATGCCTCAGTGGTTTTGGGGAAAGGAAGCGTCTCACTACCCGTGCTGCCATTGTGCTGGCAGCAGGGTTCAGGCCTGCGGGAATGCAGAGCCTCTGTCATGGGTTTGGCCTGGGCCATTGGGCTGAGAAAGTTTCTGGGCCAGGGCCAGCATTTGGCCTCCTGATGTTTCTGGGGGTTGTGGTCTATCCAACAGGCCCTGGTCCCCCTTTGTGAGCCAGTTTTGGGGTTCCTGGTCCAGCATGGGCCAGGGCCCCCAGGGCCTTTACTTCTCTGGCACTGCTCTGCTCGGCTGCTGCTCTTTTGCTTCTCGATAAAAAAAAAAAAAAAAAAAAAAAAAAAAAAAAAAAAAAAAAAAAAAAAATTTAAATTAAATAAAAAAGATTGAAAATAGCGGGCAGCAGCTCTGAAGCACTGAAGCATTGAAGGGTCAGAAAAGGACGTTCCAAAGTTGTTCAAATTGTTTGAAATTGTTTAAAATTGTGTTATGACTGTCAATGGTTTTTTGATAACTATTGATAGGATTCCTTTTGCAGCAAGTTTGTTTTCAGGACCAAAAAGGACTCTCAGATGTCCAAAAGAAACAACTTCAGCTGATGGACTGTTCCTGAAACTCAGCTGCATGGACTTGAATTCTCTTTGCATTGTTTTTTGCATTTTCTTAGATTATAGGATTGTTTTAGTGATTTGTTAGTATTGTATATTTTACAGGTGAAGGAATTTCCTGTTCATTCCACATCAGCATTTTTCTTTTATTTTATACAATTTAGAAAGGTGAGATGTCGCAGACATTTTTTCACAGAAATCCTTTCTTTCAGATTTCTGCATTTTCTGGGAAGCTGAGGGCCCCAGAAGAAGAATGTAAACAATTGTTATCAGCTGCTGTGGAATGTAACAGGGACACCTTGATTGGCTCATGTTTGTATGTTTATAATTGAGGGCCAATCACAAGAGCAAGCCAGGGGACCGAGTCCCTGGGCACAACTTTGTTTGGGATTCTTTCTTTCTATTCTTAGCTTAGCAGCATCTGCAAACTTCTCTTTTTATTCTATTTAGTATAGTCATAATGTATTTTATATCATATATCAATAAATACAGCCTTCTGATCAAGAAACAAGATTCATCGTCTCTCTCTCACCAGCAGCGACCCACTCAGGCGCTGTAACAGCGGGGATCACCAACACTGGTGGAAATATCAGCTACGTGCCATCGGTCAAGGGCCGGTCCAGGATCTCCAGGGACAACGGGCAGAGCTCGGTGACGCTGACCATGAACAACCTCAAGGACGAGGATTCCGGATCCTATTTCTGTGCCAGGGCTTTTTGTGCTGGTTGTTGGGTATTGCTAATCATGGTGACAATGCTGTTGATAGCGTCAAACTTCTAGATTTTGCTCCTGTCCCATCATTGTATCTCCAAATTTTCGATTTTCATCCCAAACCTCACCTCTTGTCTCAGATCATGACCCTTTGTCCCTATTTGCTTTAATGGTCAGCACTGACCCCAAACCCTCGCCTGTTTCTGACCCAAGACTCACCCATTGGCCCCAAACCTTCACCCTGACCCTTTGTCCCACCCCTGCCCCCTTTGCCCCAACGCTGCCCCTGGGCCCCAAACCCTGCCCTGGGCCTGGCCCCAAACTCAACTCTTGGCCCCAAATCTCCCCCTCATCCCCTAAAAGTGCCTAAAGGGTCGAGATTTGGGGTGACAGGGGGGAAATTTTTGTAACAACTCAGTTGGGTTTGATGCAGAACCAGTCGGGGTTTGGGGTCTTTGGTCACCATGGGTGGAAATGGGGCAGACGTTGGACAAACGGTCAAGGGCCGGCGATTTGGGAGAAGGACCTGGGGGTTGAGGACAGGAGGGGACACTGAGATGGGGATGGATCCACCTCAGGCGTCTTCATAATTAGCACCAGATTTGCAATTATCACCAGCAGATTTGACGCAGAAATAGGAACCGGAATCATCGTCCTTGAGGTTGTTCATGGTCAGCGTCACCGAGCTCTGCGCGGTGTCCCTGGAGATCCTGACCTGGCCTTGGACTGATGGCGCGTACTCGGTGTTGCCACTGCTGTGGATCGCTGCGAGACACTCCAGCCCCTGCCCGGGTCTCTGGCGTGCCCATTGCAGGGCAACATTGCCGAAACTGAACCCGGACTCTCGGCAGAGGAGGCGCAGGGACCCCCCGGGGGGCTGGAGGTCCCCTCCGCACTGCAGCAGGTCCACGGCCGCCCGGAGCCCTGCGGGACAAAGGGATGATGGGGATGAGGTCAGAGCTCAGCCCTTGACCCAAATCCAGACCCTTGGCCCCAAACTGGGATCTTTAGAGTTCATCATCCTCCTCCCAGGTGGATTCCACCCCTTTGTCCAGCTGGCCACACCAACTTACGGGCCCTTGACCAATCATGTTTCTCATTTCCATCATCTCTCCATTTTCCCGCAGGGCTCCGGGCGGCCGTGACCCTGCTGGAGTGCGGGGGGGACCTCCAGCCCCCCGGGGGATCCCTGCGCCTCCTCTGCCGAGGATCCAGGTTCAGTTTCGGCAGTTTTGAAAAGGAATGGGCTCGACAGAGGC